AATACAGAAATACAAAATATCATCTGTGAATATTATGAAAATATTTACACACATAACTAGAAAACATAGAGAAAATATACAAACTCTTGGAAACACACATCCTCCCAAGACTCTGTCAGGAAGAAATACATTCCTGAACAGATCACTAATGAGCAGGGAGATTGAAACAGTAATAAAATATCATCCAACACAAAAAGCCCCAGACCATATGGATTCACAGCTGAATTCTGCAAAAAAGAGCTGGTACCCACACTTATAAATTATTTCACAATTTAATAAATTCAAGGAATTTAGAGGAAATCCTCTCTAACTCATTCTATGAAGGCAGTATCACCTTCATACCAAAGCAAGAAAATAACACAACCAAGCAGGAGAAATATGGACCAATGTACCTTATGAATTAGATACAAAATTCCTCAATAAAATACTACCAAACCATGTTCAATAGCCCATCAATAATATAATCCAGCATGACCAAGTGGACTTTATCCAGGTTTGTAAGGTTGGTTCAATATACATAAATCAATAAATGCAATTCACCACTTGAACAGAAGCAAAAACAAAGACTATATGATCATCTCAATAATTTTAGGAAAAGTATTTGACAAAACTCAGCATCCTTTCATGATAATAATATTCAACAAACTCGAAATTTAAAAAGCCATACTTGATAAACCCACAGCCAACATCATAGTTGAAAGCACTCCCCCTACAAACCAGAACAAGACAGGATTCTATCATCAACTTTATTCAACAGAGTTCTGGAACTCCTAGAAGAGCAATCGAGCAAGAGCAAGAAATAAAAGATGTCCAAATAAGGAAAAAGAAGACCAAAATATCACTTTTTGATAAGGATACCATCTTGTACATAGAAAATCCCAAAGACTCAGCCAAGAAACTCCTGGAATTGATAAATAAGTTCAATAATGTCTCAGGTTGCAAACTCAGTATACACAAAATGTTGGTGTTTCTATATACCAATACCAGTCAAGCTAAGAGTCAAATCAACACTCAATACCATTCACAATAGCTATAAAGAAAATAAAATACATAGAAATATACTTAACTAAGGACATGAAAGACTTCTACAGTGAGAATTATATAACACTCAGGAGAGTGATTTACAAAGTCAATGCAATCTCCATCAAAATACCAATCTCATATTTCACTGATTTTAAAAACGGTAATGTTGTATGCTTTGTTTGGAACCAGAAAAGAGCCCTAATAGCCAAAACAATCTTAAGCAAAAAAGAACAAATCTGGAGGCATAACATTATCAGACTTCAAACTATACTACAAGGCATTAGTAAGAAATGCAGCATGGTATTGTTCCAAAAATAGTGACAGACCAACAGAAAGAATGCAGATATGAAACCATATACCTACAGCTACTCATCTTCAATCAATCAGACAACATAGGCCATGGAAAAGAATCCCTATTCAATAACTTGCTTTGAAAATGTAGAAGAATGAAACAAGACCCTATCTCACACCACTCACAGAAATTAATTCAGATCATATAAAAGATTTAAGTTCAATCATAAGACCATAAGTATTCTAGAAGTAATTGTAGGAAAAACTCTTCTAGATGTCAACTTAGGCAAAGAATTTATAACTATGACCCTGAAAGCAATTCCAGCAACAACAAAAATAAATAAATGGGCCATTATTGAATTAAAAGTCTTCTGCACAAGAAAGGAAATAATCAATAGAGTAAATCCACAACCTTTATGAATGGGAGAAAATATTCATAAACTATACAGTTGACAAAGAACTGATATCCAGAATCTACAAAGAACTCAAGCAAAATCAGAAACAAACAAACAAACAAAACAAAACAAAGAAACAATTCTATCAAAAACTGAGCAAAAGACTGTAGCACATGCTTTTCAAAAGAAGGTAGACAAATGGCCAAAAAACATGAAAAAATGCTCAGTGTCTCTAAACATCAGGTTAAAGCAAATTAAAACCACAATGAGATATTACCTTATCCCATCATAATGGCTTATATTAAAAAGTCCAAAAATAGATGAAGAGAGAAAGCAATACTTGTATGCTGTTGGTGGGATTGCAAACTAGTACAACCTCTGTGGAAACCAT